ATCCGCAAGGGCAGCTTCATCCACAAGCCGGCACACGGCTGGCTGCACCCCGATGCCAGAGTCCTGGGGCCCGGGGTCTCCTACATCGTGCGGGTGAGTGTACAGCCGGACCCACCATCGCGGCGGCTGCCCTGGGCCTCGGGGACTTGGGCTGTTCTATTCCTCTCCTTGGCATGCCCCGGATCCCAAGAACCGGGTTCCCGGCTCCGTCCTCCTTCCTCTCCCCACCACCAGGACCCCATCTCCAGCCGGGGAGGCACTAGGGTCCGGGTTCCCACGGCGTCACGTGGGGAGGGGCGGGGAGCGGGCAGGTGGGAGGGGGACGCGCATGCGCAGGGGCACCCCCCATTCCGGTTGGGCGGGAGAACCCAGGGAGCGAAGACCCATTTTGGGGGGGAACTGTTGCTTCCCACGGGGGTGGGATCCGCCCGAGCCGCCTATAAAAGGTTATGTCACAGATCACAGGCTCTGAGACCCCCCGAAACTATGGTCTGGGATGAGGTGTGGGGAAGATACCCAGCCAGACCTTGGAGGACTTCAAATGAGGAGAAACGGACTTTTATTTATTCTTGTTTAATTGGGAAACTTTTCACACATTCGGTAAAACTGGAGCAGTGATTCCCCGTGGCCTCCATCCGGGCTCTTTCACATTTTGAGTTCTCTGCTCACTGTACGGATTCCTGTAGAAAACTGTTGATAAAACATTTGAAAGCAAGCCCCCCAGTAATATCAGTTACGGTGGAGCTCCCCCTTCATGGCCATCCCATTGTTTCAGGGGCTGATTCTTTCAAACTACATCGCCCGGTCTTTCTTCTACGGTTCCACTGGGTGACTTGAACTGCTAACCTTTTAGTCAGTAGCCGATCAGCACTCCGCTCACGTGATTCTCCTGTAAACACCTCCCACACACTCACACTTCATCACATCTAAATGGGACTGTTGTTGTTGTTGTGAAGTGCTGTCGAGTCGGTTCCGACCCATAGCGACCCTTGTATAGGGTTTTCGAGGAGTAGCTGGTGAGCTTGAACCGCCGACCTTGCAGTTCAAACGGCTTTGCAGTGTGGCGCATTAACCCACAGCGCCACCCCAGGACTCCTGATGATTACAAATTACCCTTGAATGAGGCACTGGCCCTCTGGTCCCCGGACCAGGAAGGTTTCTGTGTTTGTGTTAAGTTGTCCTGTCGGTTTGCTCTCTCTACCACAGACCCTGAGCACCGCTTGCCCCCCAACCCCCGCCCTCATGATCTTGATTTTTGGGGTGTCCAGGAGCCCTGGTGTGGCACTGTAGGATAAGCACTGGGCTGCTAACCACAAGATTGGCAGTTCAAACCTACCAGCGGCACCCTGGAAACCCTCTACAGGGTCACTATAAATGAGTGGGAATGGACAAGCGGACCATAAGTACCAACAGATAGATAATGACTCTTTAGCCCTCAGAGCCCTGGTAACTCTGGGTAAACCGGGGTTCTGAGGACTAAAGAGTCAATATTTTTGGCTATGTGGGCCACATGGTTTATGTCTTCACTGGAATTTAACTCAGCCTTTGGCAAAAGCAGCTGTAGGCAGTATGCAAATGAATGAGCTTGGCTATGTTCCAATAAACCTTTATTAGTACAAAAGGGAGCGAGGGCCAAAGTTTGCTGACAAAAACCCAAAACCAATGCCCACTGCCTCGAGTTGATTTTGACTCAGTAACCCTGTAGGGACAGAGTAGAAATACTAGGATTTCAGTTTGTACACGTTTAGTCCAAAAGTGTCTTTGTGATCAGAACTCTAGACAAGTTCGTTCAGTTTCATTAGGGTGCCTTCAAATAATGTCTAATAAAATCAAAGGTTTCCAAAGGGATCTGATGTTGTGTGACCCTGTACAGGGTTTCCGAGGCTGTAAATCTTTAAGGGAGCAGACAGCCTCATCTTTCTCCAGTGAAACAGCTGGTAGTTTCGAACTCCTGACTGTGAGATTAGCAGCCCGATTCATAACCTAGGTCAGGTAAATTCATGGCAGAGAAGTAGGCTCAGAAGGGTATCATGATTTGGAATATTATGGGATTCCAAAGGAATCATCTTGACTCTGTTTCTCAAAGGACATAGGACTATTCTAGGGGCTTATTAGGAAGAAGTTTTAAGAAAATGGAAACTGCATTTCTGGAAAAAAGGCAAGGAAAGTTGGGTCATGACAGTTCACGTGCTCATCTTCTGAGAATGTTGTTGGGAAACCTACCCCCTTTCACCCTTGACCCTGATCTTGCTCCTTGAGAAACATGATTTACACCACACCCCAACTGCTGCTTGGGTGTGGTGTAAATCGGACAGCAAAATTCTTTGGGGGAAAGGTTTGTTGTTGTCGTTAAGTGCTGTGGAGTTGATTCCGACTCATAGCGACCCTGTGCAGTGTTTCTGAGGCTGTAAATCTTTACGAGAGCAGAAAGCCTCATCTTTCTCCCGCAGAACAGCTGGTAGTTTCGAACTGCTGACCTTGTGGTTCACAGCCCGATTTGTACCCACTACGCTACTTGAGCTCCAGGGGGGAGGGTTTAGAGAGATGGAAACACTGACTGTCTAGACCTACCTGGGGGATATGTCAAGAAAAATAGTTTCACATTTTGATATTTCTGTCTAATAAAGTTCTCTGTGATTTTGTAACACTACTTTTAAAAATTAAAGCTTTTATTGTGAACTGAGTGATAGTTTACATGGAAAAACATCGGCTTTGTACTCATCTGATCGTATTTTGTTTCATTGCAATGATTACAGCCCCCTCCATGCATCATCATTTAACAGCATTTGCTTCTATTCCCAGCTTTTGTTTTGTTTTCTGTTTTGATGTATACAAAACCACTCAGGAATATATAATCATTTAAGCAACCAAAGGGCACATTCTGCAAGCCTGCCTCCTGGACACCAGCACTCAGTCCTTATCTTTCCACAAGTCTAGAGTCCTCAGCTGCTCTCTCTCTCCATACCATCACCTCTGCCTCCATCTCTGATGTTGCTGCTTCTCTGGTTAGAGTCCCATGTTCTGCTCGCTCATGCTCTTCCCTCTTGATGGTCCTAGGGTCCTCTGTTCCTGGAATGTAAGATTACCTGCTCCCCCTTTATGCTATAAAACTTCTACCTTTACACTTGTGACAATCACAATTAGTTAAGAATAACATTCACTCACTATTGAATCAAATGAATCTTATTCCCATCTCCTTTTACTAAACCTATAGATAAGATGAAAACTATTCAGTGGGGATTCTACCTTTCCCTGCCCACTCTGAAACTCAAATCCCTCTTGAAAACTTGTAAGCCAGCCACTTGGTGCTTTTATAGCTTATCCCCCCTCCCCCTTTTAGGCAGCCAATGTTTTAAGTTGTCCATCCCTATCAACCCTTTGTACACAGAGGATAGGTTTGATCCTTGATGTGAAGACTCCTACCCTCTCAGTTTGTATTTGGAGCTGCTACATCCATAAGTATAGGTCAAGTTCATCAAATTGTAGCAACTTACACTTGCTTCCTTTATCAAATTTCTTTATCATCCACTAGTTGAGCTCTGGTCATCAAGCCAATGAAGCTAGGTCAAATGTGTACTATTTTAAGTTTGGGTATTCTTGTGCATCTCCCCTTACTTCATACCAGCTGGATGCTTCACTCTCAGCTCTAGCCCTCCATGGCTAGGTCAGTGTCCATGGGCTCAGGAGTCCCCAAGTCTCCCCAAACTTCGGACCAACCAGCCCTTCCTCTTCTCTCTCTCATCTAGAGGTCGAAAGGAGTCTATGGAACGTGGTTGGACTCAGCCCATATCTTCCTTATTGCCTTTCCCCGCTTCCACTCACCAATATACCAGTGTGGTCACCAGCGAGCTTACATGTCTGCTCATGTGTTCCCTTTGAGTTTCAGTCTTGGAGGGGGGTTTGTCCTGAAGGGACTTGATTGCTTACCTTGCGTAGCAATGCTTTTTGACGTCTCCTGGTATTTACAATGTTAATAACAATCCTGTCAAGGGGATTCAGGTCTTTGGTTGGAAGGCTCAGGGTCCTGGTTTCGTTGGACATTCCAGTTAATAACATGTTCGTTGTTGTTAAGTGCCGTTGAGTCGGTTCTGACCCATGGCAACCCTGTATAGGGTTCCTGATGAGTGACTGGTAAATTTGAACAAGTGCTTCTGTGTTTCCCCCTTGTTTTGAAGTGCCTGGGCTTTTAAAAGCTTGCAAGTGGCCATCCAAGGCCTGACAATTGGTCTCTGTTTGCTTGGAGCAACAGAAACAATGAGAATCAGGAATAGGATATAAGAATATAAGGGTAGATGAACAACTGCCCCTTTTGCCATAAGGTCACATGAACTGGATGGTGCTCACCTACCATTGTTGTTGTTAACTGCCATCGTGTTGGTTCTGACTCATAGCGAGCCTGTATAGGGTTCCCAAGGAGTGACTGGTGGGTTTGAACCACCAACCTACAGCACCACACCATTTTGATCTAAGATGCTATAGAAGAATCCTGACCAAAAAGAGGGAACATGCAGGACACAATTTCAAATTCTCATGGACGCTAGACTTTCTGGAGCCAACGAACGTGGCTGGATGAATCTGTGAAACTGTTGCCTTGAGATCATCTTGAAATCTTAAACCAAACATGTCCCCTGAAGCCGTCTTAAAACCAACCAGTCATTTAGCTTAACTGTTGTTGTCAGGTGCCATCGAGTCGGAACCGACTCACAGCGACCCCATGCACAGCAGAACGAAACAATGTC